GTGTGTGTGTGTGTCGTGTGTGTGTGTGTGTGTGTGTGTGTGTGTGTGTGTGTGTGTGTGTGTGTGTGTGTGTGTGTGTGTGTGCGTGTTGTGTGCGGATGTGTGTGTGGTGAGTACAAACCTAACACCTGAAGGGCCAGCGGGAAGGAGCGCATATAGATCTGTAAGCGCGAGTGGATTCCATCGAGTGGAAGAGGTGTGTTGGCATCTAGCAGATTATCGCCTACTACGACTTCCGCGCCTGTCAAACTATCTGCGCCGTTGCAAAGTATAGCACAGGTTTTTGCGATGTCGCTTGCCTCACTTTGAGCCTATGAAGAAAGTAGTGCAGTAGATCATGAGGATTACACCATTTTTAATTGGAACGAAATAATATTCTCATTTTAATTGTGACCAATTTCCAAAACAATACAATAACATAAGTTTTGCTGATATCAGTATTCCCACATCACTCGAAATCATACACATAGTAGTATAACGAGAGTAATTATGGGAAGATGAAAAATGGAAGTTATCCACCACCATCAGCTAGATACCTAACGAGAGTAATTATGGTAAGATTGGTATGCTGAGCATTAAGATTTGTACCTGCGGTAACGGGCAATATGAGCCGAAGTTATCCACCACTATAAGCTGGGTACCTTCCAATCCATTAGTTTGCAGTGATGTGAAGAACGCTTGGAGTACACTCGCTTCCGGAGGTATATACCTGCGGTGAGAAAAGGTACGCACATTTAAAAAAACGAAAATACCTCCCTCAACTTCGAAATCAGCGATAGCCAACATCTGACATATGGCACAATTGCCAAGTGGTAGTCAACATGGCATATATACGGGAATTAGTCGAAGTCACTACTCTTGTTGAAATCCAATTGTGACATCATAAAGATTTGGCTGTGCACAAAAGCTCAACATACCCGTTGATGAAGGGGAATTGAAAACACCTAGGACAGGACACGTACAGGCAACAAGTCTATTCACGATAAGTGAAACTACAGTTAAACAGAGCACCAAACTTATGTGCGAACAAAGAAATATTTTGATCATCGTTGGCCTTTTTATACAATTTGCGTTTGTTCGCTTTACAGCTATGGGTTGACACACACTTGACTTGTATCCGTCGGAAAATATCGGCGGTCACTTGGCTACTGCGCATCTGCTTCTGTAAGCTTTGCTCTAGCTGATTCCTATCAGGGCTGATATAGAGGACGTCTCTGCCGTGCTTGCTCGCATTCAAGGCATACTGGAACAGTAATTGTGTTTTTCTGCCCATGGGTAAATCACGATAGTAAGAATTCTTGATATCAGAAAATAGGTAGATTTGAACATACACGCCATCAAGATGTCAGTCCTCTTGTTAGAGCCAAACTTCACCCAGCAATTTATACGATAGCTCTATATTGATTGTAATCCACTGCACACATACA